GCTTGATTAGGTAAACTGAAAATTAAGACAAGAAAAAAGAGGTGGTAAATATGAAACAATTTTATTATGTTAACTTTAAATGTACAAAGTTGGGATATAATATTGTGAAATTAGAAACATAATAACTGAAAGATACAGTAAGTTAAGAAACAAGGTAACAAATTGCTGAAACTTTTATTGCAAAGAACGCAGAGTCGTGAGGATGTGGGGAAGTCCATCTGGAATATTGGAAAAACTGTTGAAAGTTGGATTGTAATAATCTTTTTATCATTTTTCTTTGTTTTTGTTTCTAGTATTTTCTTGCTTCAATCTTGTGTCTATGACCCTAAGAAAAGAAACTCAATAAAAAATATTTTTTAAAAATAAAAAAAATAAAAAAAAGGCTACTGGTCTAGTGGACCCAGGATATTCTTTTAGGCTCCAGCCCATCTATGAGGATTAGAAATCATTCTCTATTCATCATGAGGTATGCTCATTCTGGCAGTTTGTACACAGAAGTTGGATAGGTTGGATGTGGTCTGGAAAAAGCAAGTAGCAGGTGTAGTGGTGTAGCGTGGGTTGCCAGGGCCATGCGGAGAGTGTGAGGTGGGAAATGGATGGAGTATGTGTGTACATTGAACTGCCTAATGGCATTTGTGTCAGGAGATTGCAGCTGTAGAGATAAGAAGAGTCATTCCATTGTCTGGAGAGGTCACTTCCTAGTTCGCATGGAGAAACCGTTTTCAGTGGAGTGCGATGATGGAAGTGTGAAGCTGTATTGAGGCAGCGCTGGGTGTTGAAATTTTGCACCCCTAACAATTTTTTGCCTGGGGCAGCCGCTCCCTGTGCCCCCCCCCAAATGCTACGCCACTGAACAGGTGAAACCCTGAGTTGTCAGCAAGCTTAATGCTGAAATGATCCGACTGTGAGATCAACATTTCTACAGTTTGACAAGCTGTCATGTGATTCTTTACTGTTGAAACCCTGCTATTCTCTTATCATATTTCTGTGTTGTGCAGTGGCTTAACTTGTCTAGAATATAATCTCTGTGACGGATGGATGGGACTTGAATTTGACTTTGAAGCCCACCATGTTTGTAAGCATCCCACTGTCTTCATTGATACCTATAAGAGTTACATTGGTAGAGGCATAGTCATTGAAGGTGTATGCAGTCAAACCTTGGCTCCCGAACACCTCCGTTATCATGCGTTTCGGCTCCTGAATGCCGAAAACCCAGAAGTAACTGCTCCGGTTTTCAAACGATTTTTGGAAGCCAAATGGCTTCCAGGGAGTTCTTTTTCTTTTTTCTTCATTGACTTTGCTGACCGCCCTTTGATCCTCAGTTGTCGAACGTTTCGAAAGTCGAACAGGCTTCCGGAATGGATTATGTTCAACAACCAAGGTTTGACTATGCTATACAGTGGTACCTCGGGTTACATACGCTTCAGGTTACATACGCTTCAGACTCTGCTAACCCAGATTATTTTTTTTTAAGATATTTATTAAATTTTCAAAAATTATACCAAAACAAAAACAATAATACAGACAAAACACAAACAAAACAAGTATAATTTCATTCCCTTATTTTCTTATACCTTACTTCCCCGACCTCCTCATACCTCCCCTTTCTGTATTCCAATTTCTAATTCATTAGTTCAGCAAATCCTTTCCCTTAATTTTGTTTAGTTTTTAACCTTTCTTTTCTTTTTACTTAATCATTACAGCTGAAAACCACTTAATTTCTAAAATCAACATCGATCTAACATTCATTAATTTTGCAATGTTTCCTGAGATAGTCTTTAAATTTCTTCCAATCTTCTTCCGCCGTCTCTCTTCCCTGGTCACGGATTCTGCCGGTCATTTCTGCCAGTCCCATATAGTCTATCACCTTCATCTGCCATTCTTCCATGGTGGGTAAATCTTGTGTCTTCCAGTACTTTGCAATAAGTATTCTTGCTGCTGTTGTAGCATACATAAAGAATGTTCTATCCTTCTTTGGCACCAATTGGCCGACCATACCCAGGAGAAAAGCCTCTGGTTTCTTCAAGAAGGTATATTTAAATACCTTTTTCATTTCATTATATATCATTTCCCAGAAAGCCTTAATCCTTGGGCATGTCCACCAAAGGTGAAAGAATGTACCTTCAGTCTCTTTACATTTCCAGCATTTATTATCAGGCAAGTGGTAGATTTTTGCAAGCTTGACTGGGGTCATGTACCACCTATAAATCATTTTCATAATATTTTCTTTTAAGGCATTGCATGCCGTAAATTTCATACCAGTGGTCCACAACTGTTCCCAATCAGCAAACATAATGTTATGACCAATATCTTGTGCCCACTTGATCATAGCTGATTTAACCGTTTCATCCTGCGTATTCCATTTCAACAGCAAGTTATACATTTTTGACAAATTCTTAGTATTGGAATCTAACAGTTCTGTTTCCAGTTTTGATTTTTCCACCTGGAAGCCAATTTTCCTGTTCATCTTATAAGCCTCCATTATTTGATAATAATGCAACCAGTCTAGCACTTTATCTTTTAATTTCTCAAAACTCTGCAATTTCAGTTTCTCCCCTTCTTGTTCCAGAATTTCCCAATATTTTGGCCATTTGGACTCCATATTGAGTCTTTTCCCAGCCTTTGCCTCCATTGGCGACAACCACCTTGGGGTTTTAGTTTCCAGCAAATCTTTATATTTAATCCAGACATTATACAGTGCTTTCCTGACAATATGGTTTTTAAAAGCTTTATGAGCTTTAACCTTGTCATACCACAAATAAGCATGCCACCCAAAAATATTATTAAAACCTTCTAAATCCAGAATATCTGTATTCTCAAGAAGCAGCCAATCTTTCAACCAGCAGAATGCTGCTGATTCATAATATAGTTTGAAGTCTGGCAGGGCAAATCCCCCCCCCCTTTCCTTTGCATCAGTTAAAATCTTAAATTTAATTCTGGGTTTCTTGCCCTGCCAGACAAATTTAGAAATGTCTTTCTGCCACTTCTTGAAACAGTCCATCTTGTCCACAATCTGCAATGTTTGGAATAAAAACAACATTCTTGGCAGTACATTCATCTTAATTGCTGCAATTCGACCCGACAAGGAAAGCTTCAAGTTTGACCAAATTTCTAAATCTTTTTTCACTTCTGTCCAACATTTCTCATAGTTATCTTTAAACAAATTCGCATTTTTAGCTGTCATGTTAATCCCCAAATACTTCACTTTCTTAACTATTGTTAAACCTGTCTCATTCTGAAACCTCTCCCTTTCAATAGGTGTTAAATTTTTCTCTAATACCTTGGTTTTCAATTTGTTCAGTTTAAATCCTGCTACTTGACCAAACTCTTGAATTAATTCTAAGACCCTTTTGGTACTTGATTCTGGCTCTTGTAGTGTAAGTACCAGATCATCTGCAAATGCTCTCATGCTAACCCAGAAATATTACCTCGGGTTAAGAACTTTGCTTCAGGATAAGAACAGAAATCGGGCTCCGACAGCGCGGCGCAGCAGCAGGAGACCCTATTAGCTAAAGTGGTGCTTCAGGTTAAGAACAGTTTCAGGTTAAGAATGGACCCCCGGAACGAATTAAGTACTTAACCTGAGGTACCACTGTATTGGTTCTTGAAAGAAGAAAACCAACAACCTACTGCAGTCCTTGTGTTTACAAGCAGCATTGTGACTTTGGCTACTGTAATATAAATTTGCTGGCTAGACTTCTGATGATCTGTTGGAAAGATTTTGAAAAAGAGGTGGCTTGTAGGCATTTGATATGCCATGTGTGATTAACATAGATACTGATATGCTAATAAATAATTTTAGACGGTAAGCATTTATGTTGACTCTTTTTTTCAAACTCTGACTAATGTGTGTAAAATATTTGCATTCTATTGGAGCACACCATTCTCTATGCAAAATTTGTGTGTGATTTTGCTAAAAATGTGCTGCCTTTCTATTCCTCTTAATTCATTATACGCCAGCCCAAATGGATTAAATAAAACAGTATACTGCCTTGTTCTCATAAATATATTCTGTGTGTCTTTTGAACAATCTCCTGTATGGTATTCATGATCTCCCTGCTTTTCTCACAATTGAGTCATTTAAACTACTTAAGGGATTGAGCTTCTTTGATTTGCAAAATTATTGGCACTTTTCAAGCCTGCAACTGAAGAAAATGATGTGGTCTTCTGAATAGTATTCCATGTTATCTAAAATATATGCATAATGAATGTTTAGTAATCATGTTTCTTTAGCTGTGAATTCCAAATAACAATTGTCTGACAAACTATTTGTGGCTGAAATATGTGTTTAATAAAAGCTTTCAAATGCTTAAAGTTTACCATTAGGATACTGCAGGACTGACAACAAATAATTAGATTAGGCATAATTCTAAGAAGTTTAACTGAAGTTTGGACAATAAACACATTTAAAACACTTTGTGACAACATAGGTACTTGAGTTCATTGCAGAAAGTACCAAAGCTTTAAGCTTTTATACAAAATAGTTAAGGCAATTCTGAGTTCTTTGCACATAGTATGTGCCACTTTAGCACAAGTACCTGAAGGTAACTTAATTTACACTGAATGCTTAATTCAGTTCAGTGTAAAGTGAACTGCAGACACATTTATTGTTAAAAGATCACTGGCACTTACAGCATAGAGTTCTGAAATGTACATGAAGAAGCCATAATTCGCTGTGCATTCTCTGAATGTATGTAGCCCAGATTCAGTTTCAGTTCAATAAAAGGATCTCTAGTTATAAAGACCTCTGGCTAAGAGGCTGGGGAACTGCTGCCCACATAATTAACACTACAGGACGACACATCCTATGAATTGGATTCTTAGGCTGAAATTTTGTACCCCATTCACAACTGTGTTAAACACTAAGTAGATGTTGGTAGTTAAATCCTTTTGTAATCTTGCTTAAAAGGCAGGCGTAGTTCTATACACAGTGGCACTTCGTGTTCCTTCCTGAAGAGCTGAACCTCACTGAACAGTATTTGGTGTTCTGCTCTTTGTAGGCTGTGAGGATATTATCGCTGAGAGCATCTCACTAGACACCTTTATTGCCATTCTCAAGTGGAGTTCTCAGCCGTACGGCTCCAAGTGGGTTCATCGCCAAGCACTGCATTTCCTCTGTGAGGAATTTACACAGGTCATGACTTCAGATGTCTTTTATGAACTCGGCAAAGACCACCTGCAAACTGCCATCCAGTCTGACTACTTACAGGTAATCATTTCTCCTTCTCTCTGTGTCAAATTGTACCCAATTATGTCCTGAACCCAGTTTTGTTAATCACTTACCAGTAGTACAGAACAGAAGCATGCTGATCTTCAATCTTAACTGCAGAGGGAGGGAGGGGGGAGAGCCGTGTGTGTGTGTGTGTGTGTGTGTGTGTGTGTACAGAATGGACTCTTTCTTTATTCTGGCATATGTACACACAAGCCTCTAGCAGAGGTAGTGATTAAGAAAACTATTCTGCTTTCTTGGCACATAACCCAACCCAAACTGGCAGTATAAACTATTTCTTGAAAGCCTAATAATAGTCTAGAAGCAGTTGCAAATTACTTTAACTGAAACTCTTCTTGGTTTAATTTTTGCCTTGCCTGTTCAGAGGTTTATGGAAATTATATAGTAGTTCTCACGCTAAAAACGTATGTCTTGGGGAAGAAAAGGGAAAATCTAGCTCATCATTTAAACACTTTTCTTGCAGGAGCTGTACAAAATCCCTTTGATTTCAACTACTCAGTGCCCGCTCTCCCCCCCTCCCCCGGCCCCATTCTGCAATTTAATCAATGGAGGAAACACCATTAGTGTGTGTTACCTCATCTCAAATGAGCTTTACTTACTTACTTACTTACTTACTTACTTACTTACTTACTCTTGATGCAATTTCAATACATGCTTATGTGATTTGCGTTCTAGGTGTGTCGTGAGGGATGGGAAACTGTTTTGGTCCATACAACTAGCTTATGCCAGAAGAGAATACCTGAGCATCCTTAATTAGAAAGGCAGACTGCAAGTAATATTTCCAGACACATGTCTTAAAGTAGAGTTAGGGGCCCACAAATCTTTACTGGTCTTAGTAGACAGCCATTATCTGTTGTCAGTTCTTGCCCTTTCCCTCCCTGCTGTCCTTCGGCACATTCAGAATATTAGGGGGGGCGGAATCAGCCTCATGGTGTTAAAAAGGTAAAGGTACCCCTGCCCGTACGGGCCAGTTGTGTCCGACTCTAGGGTTGTGCGCCCATCTCACTTAAGAGGCCGGGGGCCAGCGCTGTCCAGAGACACTTCCGGGTCACGTGGCCAGCGTGACGAAGCTGCTCTGGCGAGCCGGCACCAGCGCAGCACATGGAAACGCCGTTTACCTTCCCGCTATAAAGCGGTACCTATTTATCTACTTGCACTTAAGGGTGCTTTCAAACTGCTAGGTGGGCAGGAGCTGGGACCGAAGACGGGAGCTCACCCCGCCGCAGGGATTCAAACCGCCGACCATGCGATCGGCAAGCCCTAGGCGCTGAGGTTTTACCCACAGCGCCACCCGCGTCCCTTCCTCATGGTGTTAGCATGGTGTAATCTAGCTGTAGTGGTCCTGGCTTAGGATCACTAAGGTTAGTGACTAAGGTTAGTGATCATCTTAGGTTTCAGATCTTCCTCATTTACTATGCCTTTCAGATACCCCATGAAGCATGTTTTGATGTTGAAATTTTTCGTAAGAGTATAATCTTATTTATAATCTTCAGTACCTATTGGCAAAAGTTTATAGTCTTAAGGATATCACTAAGGATGTGCTTTAAGATATCTGTTGCTTTATTTTTCCAAAAATTGTCATTTTGCAAATTGTAAGTCTAAATTTAAATTGAACAATTTGGTGTTGAATACCACCCATGTATAATTCTTCTGTGTTATAGGAACAATATTTTTGCTGCATTTTTATACAGTTTATCTAGAATTCTGAGAGGTCCCTCTTGTTGTGAGCAAGAGTAATAAATGCTGTTTCCACTGAGCAATTTGGTTGGGTGTAATTCATTGATGCTCCAATGTTCATTTGTTGAATGTCTCTCTGATAGGCGAGTGAGCAAGATGTCCTGAAGTATCTTGTTAAGTGGGGTGAACATCAGCTGATGAAAAGAATAGCAGACCGAGGTAAGTACGGTACTTCTTAATGGGCATATCTAAACTAATAATTAAAAGAGAAACTGATATCTGTAAGTTAAAAAGCTGAACAAACCTTGGATCCTTCACTGTAGAGATGTATAATACATATGAAGCTGCCAGATTTGTACTACCAGCTTTGTCCACACTAACTGGCAGCAGTTCTCCAGAATCTGAGAGAGATTTCCTAATTCTTTTACTTGACATCTTTTTCACTGGAGATGCCAGAGAGTGAACCTGTCCGGACCGTTCTGCATGCAGAACGTGTGCTCTACCACTGAGTTATTTATGGCCATTCCTGTCTCTATTTTAGCATCTCTTCCCCATTTCGGGAGATGTTCCTGATGGATTATGCCTCGGTACCGAAATTCATGACATCTCTCTGGCATCTTGAGCCTTAAACTCATTCGCCCCGATCTCACAGATTCCTTGCAGACATAAGAACTCCAGTGTTCACATAGAGCTTCCCTGCCCATAAAAACTCCTCCATTCACTTTGATGGATGGTGATGGAGCAGCTCAGATAAGAGCACTAGAAGGTGCCTGCTGCACTCAGATGAATGAGGCAATCCACTTGAATAAAACTGTTCTTATCAAAGGCAGTTCCTCAAAGCAAGGCATTGTGAGCGTGGTCGCTCAGAGAGCAGAGTCTGTGTCACTGTTCTCTTGTTGCAGCAGTGGCAAGATATTTAAAATTACCTTTAGAATTATAATCATTTTTAGGGGTTTTTTAATAGTAATTGGAAGCAAAGCAGAGGTTACAGGTGCTCTTTACATAACCGTGTCCACAGTTCCTCACGCTGAGGAAGCATCACAAGTTAGAGAGTGGCAGCATTGGTGGACAGGGTAGCAGGGACACACAGTGTGCCACCCCTCCCAGTCTGCCATGTGAGCCAAGTGGCTTATGGTAGGGCTCTCCCTGCACACGACAGATACAGATGCATTGTTGACTTGCACTCCTTTTCTTTTCCTAAGCACATGGTAGGATTCCCTTTGTGGAAAAGACTATTGTTTCTTTAAAAAATCCTGGGATGATGTGCGAATGTAAAGCCCCGAAGAAGCTCTAAAGAATGGACCTGCAGCTTCAGTAACAACCCCAGTCAGATAGAAAGATAGTTTTGCAATAGATGACTTTCTGTGAGATATGTGTCCTTGCTTTTTAAAATCCTGGTAGACAAGTAGCTATATCAAACCGTATGGGAATCTCTCGTTAGCTTTCATCCCTTGCTGTAGAAGAGATATAGATTTTTTAAAAATGCTCAGGTGGAACTGTCTGCTTATTTCCCCTCCTGCAGAGCCCAATTTGCTGAGTGGCACAGCTCACAGTGTGAACAAGCGAGGTGTAAAGAGGCGAGATCTTGACATTGAGGAACTGAAAGAGATCCTTTCTCCTCTCCTACCGTTTGTCCGTATTGAGCATATTTTGCCTATGAACAGTGAAGTCCTGACTGATTCTGTGAGTGTCTCTTTAAGGTCACTGTGGGGCATTATATCACACAGATAAATGTCTTGTTTGTTTTTTGAGGATGTTGCAGATGACTCTTACTGCAGACCTTCAAATTTGGTGTAGAAAAAAGCTTAATTCGGGCTTGGTTGTTATTCACCAGCCTGCCCATATATGTTGCAAATGGTTTATTGTCTACAAAGAACGTAAGCATTCCTGAACTCTTTTGTAAGATGCCACCTTTTTCTGTTAAAGATGAAGAGAGGTCTCATCAGCACTCCTCCTTCGGATATGTTGCCGACAGCGGAAGGTGGAAAGTCAAATGCCTGGCTGCGACAAAAGAATGCGGGCATTTATGTGAGGCCAAGGCTGTTTTCACCATATGTGGAGGAGGCTAAGGTAATAAGACTTACTACTTAGTAGGTTCTGATAATGTGTGCCTCATAACTCACCACACAGTTAACAACCTTGCTTTGTAATGCGTCTGAACAAGGTGCTCTGGATGCATAGGTAAAGGGTAAAGGACGACTCTGGGGTTGCAGCGCTCATCTTGCTTTACTGGCCGAGGGAGCCGGCATACAGCTTCCGGGTCATGTGGCCAGCATGACGAAGCTGCTTCTGGCGAACCAGAGCAGCGCACGGAAACGCCGTTTACCTTCCCGCCGGAGTGGTACCTATTTATCTACTTGCACTTTGATGTGCTTTCGAACTGCTAGGTTGGCAGGAGCAGGGACCAAGCAACGGGAGCTCACCCCATCGCGGGGATTTGAACCGCCGACCTGATCGGCAAGCCCTAGGCTCTGTGGTTTAGACCACAGCGCCACCTGCGTCCTTATGCTCTGGATGCATAATGGTGTTCAAAAAGACCTGAGTGTCTAAAAGCACTCCAGTGCCTTCCAGAGGTTGTGGACTACAGCTCTCATAAAACATGACCATTGGTTCTGGGAGTTGTGGTCCAACATCTGGAAGGCACTGCATCACCTGCACCTGCAAAGAATATGGGCATCTGGCCAAACAGAAGACAAAGGTCCTTCCATCTCTGTAACTCACAATTACATTAGTGCAGTTATCCCCAGTGGAAGAAGGTTTCAGCTCTCTTTTCCATGCCTGTTATGCTGCCCCCTTGTACATACATTGAAAGGACTTACATTCTTTTTCATTTCCTCTTTGGGTTTCCCTGAGTTTTTTTCTCCCGGGCCAGAAGTTCAGATTTGCCATCAAAACAAAAAGACATACTGTATTTTTCGCCCTATAGGACGCACTTTTTCCCCTCCAAAAATGAAGGGGAAATGTGTGTGCGTCCTATGGGGCGAATGCAGGCTTTCGCTGAAGCCTGGAGAGCGAGCCTCGCTCTTCAGGCTTCAGGAAAGCCCCAGCGCCAGCCCCACAAGGTCGGGGGACAGCGGGAGGCTGTCTTTATTTCTTTATTTCCCCCCAAAAAACCTGGTGTGTCCTATGGGCCGGTGCATCCTATGGGGCGAAAAATACGGTACTTGCTGTGACTCATGTTTATATGTTAGGAAACTCATGGACAAAAAGGGGCTGGAAGCAACAAGGGGGTATTCCTTGGGCACAGAGAATGAAGTTAGGGTTCCCTTTTCCTGCAGTAACTGTATGAACATGCTACTTGTGGTTTTATATGTAGATGATGGTGGTGGTGATTTATATCCTTCCTTTCCTCCCAAAGTAGCCCAGGGTGGCAAACATATCAATGACAATATCAGTAAAAACATTATAAAAACAGCTAAAAGCAATCATATTCTCTCAGTCAGTGGTTTCAGGTTTGCCAGGAACATTACCTTTCAGCCATCAAATGCCTGTATAAACTAGAATATTTTTAAATTCCACCTGAAACTCAATACATGAGGGAGGCAGATGCAGTTCACTAGAGAGGGCATTCCACAAATGGGGGACTATTACTGAGAAAGACCCTTAGATGATTGTGCACCCTTCTTCTTTTCACAGAGAAGTATTCAGATGTGTTAAAGGCAAGCATTGCAGCCTCCAGCAATCTTTGTACTTAAGAGCTGCTTCAGGTTTTGCTCAAGTGGGAATGAGGTGTGGAGTTTTGCAGCAGTAGAAGTGGATTGTTTTTATTACTATTATTAATTTGTTTTTAGTACTAGTGCTGGGCTGAGGCTTTTGGAGTTTAGGTCATAATTCTGATTAAGTTATGAGCACGGATGAAGATCAGTGACTGAAAAGAACACGATGTTTGATGTTTTTAAAGGGAACATGTGCTCCTGAACATGGTCAGGTCATTTTTATGTGTTTCATATCTGGAAAAGGAAGATAATGTAATGTCACACTGATGGCATTTATTGTTTTATGTTGACAGGAAATCAGAGAAAATGTTAAGTAAACTCTCTTGTTTCAACCTGTGTTGTTTCAGTCGGTTCTAGATGAGATGATGGTGGAACAGACTGACCTGGTTCGTTTACGGATGGTTAGAATGTCCAATGTGCCAGATACTCTCTACATGGTAAACAATGCCGTTCCGCAGTGCTGTCATATGATAAGTCACCAGCAAATAAACAGTAACCAATCCAGCGCTCCTTCAGTTGTAGCCAATGAAATCCCAGGTGAGTTTGTAAGCTGATCCATAATAAATTGCTTATCGTTATCAATATTAAAAATGTTGTTAAATAGCTCAGAATCCGCATGATCAGAGTTTCACGAGCAAGTGAGAAGATGCTGTCCAGGACCTTATGCAGAACCTAGTCCTCATGCTGTCAAAGGAAGAAACTGAGCATTTTGACTGTGGTGTAGGTTTAGAAACCAACAGAGCCCTGTTGATAGTGTTGACATGATGAACATGCTTTTGTTTTTAACATCTAAAACAGGAAAGCAGTTCTGGTGGGTGGGTGTGTTTTGCGATGAGGGGTGTCAGCATGCTGATTTGTGAATCTTTGATGTGTGAATCTGTGAATTCTTGTTAGTCTGTCCAAGCGCCCAGTCTTAAAAAAGCAACAACAAACTAATCCCACATATGTTGCACGAATAGATTTTGAAAATGTGATGATAAAATGACTGATCCCCATGACCTGCAAGGTTTTATCAGTGACAGATTTAAGATTTTTTGCTTTCAAGGGTATCCATTTCTGAATAAGACCTTGCAGAATAAAAGATACATGAATACCAGTTGGATCCTGGCATCTGACGCAATAATTGAAATGGACTGCAAATTGCTTTTAATCACAGCCAGCTAAATTACAGGAGGGTGGAAGACACTAGTGGAAATGAAAACAAAAGAACACTTTAGATCAAAAGTGCTGCAGTGATTGTTAACGTGAAGAAGTGAAGCTGTGCTGTCCTGGTCAATTGGCTTCAGCTTTGAAGTTGAAATAAAGTGTGTCCTCAAAATCAAGTGTCTTAAAAGTTACAAATCGCTTTAAAGCACTTAAAACGAGAGCTATGTCAAAAAGAGGGGGGGGGGGAAGGAAGACACATATTCTGGTCAGTAGTTGATACCATTCAAGGGCTCTAATGATGTCAAAAAATCCATAGAGGGGCCTTCTTCCTTTAATTTAATTCATGCCATTTTCAGCTGCATTTATTTATTGCATTCTGATCAATGTCTCTTTCCCCACAGTGCATAGGACCTAAAAAGAACTGGTAAATGACCTGTCAGCTAAGCTGTATAGGCTGGTTATTGCTCAGGGCAGGTGTGGGGAATCTTCGGTCCTCCAGAGGTTGCTGAGCTGCAGATTCAAGCATCCCTGGCCTTTTTGACCATGCTTATGGGGGCTGTTGGGAGTTGTAGTTCAGCAGCATCTTGGGGGGCAAAGGTTTCCCATACCTGGCCTAGGGCATCGTGGTTGGTCTTTTTCTATTGTTATTTTTGTTGTTGCTGCTGCTGTTGTTTCCTAGAAGCAATTCATAAATGAAATGCATATTGAAGCAATTTTTACAAAACAATCAAATCTATGTACAACCATTGTGTGTGTATTTTTTTTGTAAAAAACAACCAGTTGAAACAGTTACACATAGAAAAACAATTCCATTAGATACTGACTAGGATTAAAAATCTCCACCTTGAAGGCTAGTCGAAAGAGGAAAGTTATTTTCCAAAGGAACATTGGAATGTGTTTTTTAAACATTACAGAGATAGCTCAAGTCTCCAGTTTCACCCGGGAACCTTCTTTTCTGTTCATGAATTAGCAGCATGGTCATTCATGGCCTCTGTAACCATTTGCTATGTGCCCTATGGGAAACTGCTCTCAGTGACTGTCTGGGAGTTTGCTCTTTTCATTGTATTCTGCCAGAGTCAATTTTTAATGGCAAGGGCATGTAAAGAGACATTTAAGTAGCATCTCCCCAGCAAGAGATCTCCCTCCCCCTGGACAGTTGACATAGCCTATACTTGAATATTTGATGGCAGTGCAGTAAATCCAGACTCACTTTTCATGGTTGGGAAATAGGCAGCTATATAGTCATTTTAATATTTCTGATATATTTTAACTGGATATTTCAATCCGCAATGTCTTCTTGGGTTCTGTTCTTGCTTTTGGTGAAGGTGGTGTGGGATTAAAACAAATAAAACAATGCATACACAAATACTTTACTTTTGATTTCTAATTCTGCAACCATAAATATTCCCTTTGTCTCTGCTGGGTTCAGAAATGCTGCTCCTCAAAGCATTGATAAGAGCTTGTCAAGAATTTTCCTGGGACATCTTAATAGAGTGTCTAAGTAACTTTTCATGTGATCTCTTCCAAGGAGAGTCAAAATCAGATGAGTTCTCTAAGAAGAGTGGAATTTCCCCGAGCTTCTGTTGGCTTAGAAGTTGCATGGGTAGTTTTTTTTTTTTTTAAAGGTTAAATTTCTGCAGTTATTACTGGCTCTCCAGTGGTCTTGTGATTTCAGCCTTCAACCCAACCTATCAAGTGTGTGCCAAGAAAACCAATCTGGAGATGGCTGGTTCCATCCGGAGGAAGTGTAAATTTGGGATTTTAAGATACTCTGCATCAAAACATTTGATAAGGACAAGATAAGTGGGGTTCACAAAGATAACTCGCTGACATAGAAGCAAAGAGAATATTGTTTTAAACAGAAGTTGGATGGTCATCTGGCTTCTTGAGCTGTGATTCCTGCTTTGTAGGTGGTTGGATTAGATTATCCTTTTGGTCTTTTCCAATTCTACAGTTCTGCAATTCTATGAAATCAGCATTGTAAGCAAATGGTTTTTCTGCTGCTGGTGTGTTTTAAGGAATAGGTTATCAAGGGGTGTTTGTTTGTGTAGAGGGGAAATGTGTCTTAATGAAAGCTGTGACCATCAAATATAATTCCCATCCTCTCAGCAAATATTTGAAAGTAGTACATACAGAAGGCAAGATTGACTGGAGGGGTTAACTGGGAGGTTGCTGAAGGAGAGGAGATAACTCTTGAAAGAAGGGCATGCTAAATTATTATGGAAGGACAAAGCCAGAGGACTAGGAGCAATGAGGGCTCTTGGGGCATGTTGGCAGGCAAAGGGAAGGTGTCAGGCTTTTGCTGGGCTAACGCAGCAGCTAGGTTGGAAGAAAGAAGTGCCCTGTTGAATTAAACCAAAGGCACATCAAGCATCCTGTACTCACAGTGGCCAACCAAATGATTGGTTGGCTGGTTGATTTAGTTTACTTATATGCCACCTTTCCACAGTTAGATGTGCCCAAAGTGGCTTACAACAGGCACCCACTTATTATGAAAATACAAAACAGGTTGCGAACGGGTAGTTCACAAGACACATCAACAATTCAGCAAACATGGGATATGCAAGGCAGAGGAAAGTGGGGTGCCTTTCCTTCAGTATCAGTTATTCATTGTTCACACAGGGCTGGAGGAGGAGATGGGGTCCTGCTGCCCTGCCTTACCTACCTCTGCAGAGCTCAGTATGCCAAGTCTGTGGCTGCACTTGCGCTTCATACTTTTCTGCGTGGCTTTATTTAGCGCAAACAAGTCCCGGCTCAGTTCCTTATAAGCCTTATCTTGTTGGCCCGTGGAATCAGTTGCTGCTCATTCGAATAGCAAAGGAAGTCATTTCAGCTTGGGTTTTCCGTCTGTTGCTGTTTCTGCAGTTCCTCGTCTCCCTGTTGTGAAAGAGATGGTCAAGCGGCTGCAGGAGCTCCGTCATACCGAGCAGGTGCAAAGAGCTTACGCTCTGAACTGTGGAGAAGGGGCCACTGTCAGCTACGAGATTCAGATCCGTGTACTGCGGGAATTTGGACTTTCTGATTCTGCCGCTGAGCTCTTGCAGGTATGAAACACGGACAGTAACCTCAGTAGACACTTGGCCGTCCTCAAGTTGATCACCTATCATGATGATTTATTTGAAAATGGGACTGTATATGTAAGCCTCTTTTAAGATGAAGTGTGCAGCAGTTTAGGCGTGAGTGGAGGAAGAGATAATGGGAATGTTAGGTAGCGTTGCTGCTGTATTTTTAGGCAAGGAAAGAGGAGACTGTGTTAGATGACAGACACCCACCAAATTTCCTCATGTCTAATTAGAAGCCAGGAGATTATTCCTCGTACTTCTTGGTGCTGCTCTGCCCTGGATGTTCCAAATGAATTAGCCTCAGAAAAATAAACCCCACACCCAGCATGCAAATTGCTGCTGATCATAGTAAGTCTACTTTCTAGAGCTTTTAAACCACAGGCCTGCAGAAGGATAACAAACTTGAGAATCTCAGTCTAAAGCCTGCATTGTCACATCAACATTCTTCCTGACCTTGCCAAACAAAAAAATGTGGTTCTGGAGAGGGGGGAAATAAACGTTAAAATCTAAAGATTGCTGTTCCAAGCAAGAAAGTGAGGGAGCTTTTATTTTTAAGAAAACATACTTTATAAAAAGAAATCATAGAGGGAGCCACCCAGTGGTGCTCTGCAAAATAGAGATTTGTACAGAAGAGTTTTGTGCTGTTTAAAAACAGAACAGGAGCACCACAGCTGAGTATATTTTTGCACTCTCCAAAACTGTGGCCATATGCTCCAGAATGATTGCAACTAACATGTTGTGTATTTTTGCTTGCAAAATAATTACATAGTGCAAAACCTCTATTTCCATACCTGATTGCTGACGTGGAAGATCTGCAGCTTAGGAATTCAGCTGCATTAGCAAAAGTGGTCATGTATTAGGATGTCTAACTTAACTTTTTTTGCTGCTGCAATATGGGCTGAAGACTAGGACTCCAGAAAAGCACATTTATTTATTTTTGGAGACACGCACGTGGCAGGGTCAGATAATGCAGTGTAAGCAATGCCCAGGCCTTGCAGCAGAAGTTCCTATGGATTTTTCAGCCTCTTTTGTGTTCTCTCTTACTGTTGCAGAATCCTCACAAGTTCTTTCCAGATGAGCACTTTGGGGATGAAAGCCCGCTCTTGACCTTGAGACAGCCGGGGCGGTGTCGCGTCAACAGCACGCCCACAGCGGAAACCATGTTTACAGAATTAGACTCTTTTGTGGCCTTCCATCCACCGCTGCCCCCTCCCCCACCTCCTTACCACCCGCCGGCTACTCCAATCCACAATCAGTTCAAAGTCGGCTGGAAGCAAAGGGCGCAGAGCCAGCACCCCTCGCGTTCCTTTTCTTACCCCTGCAACCATTCCCTGTTCCATGCCAGAACAGCACCGAAAGGCCCCCCTCCCATCTACCTGTCTGGTGTCAAAGCCACACCTCCCGATTGCACTAACACTACAGGACTGGGAAGACAAACAGTTGCTGCCGCAGCAGCTGTGATAGCTGCTGAAAAGCAAGTAGTAAGTATGCCACAGACATACACAAACTCCAGATGCATGGATGTTAAGGTAGAGTGATGCATTGTCCTGGTGATGCGAACAGGACTTTGTGTTTGCTGAAACTGTTTGGAATTTGCCCGTACAAAAAGCTTTCGGCTTTGTCACTGAGCAGCTAGGTAGTTTTCTGGAAGTCTACCCATGGGTTATTCCATAGCATTCACGTGCAACCATGTTGCAGCTTCTGTCTTGTTTTGTGGGCCCAACAAACCATCCAGTTGGGAATATCTTTGTAATAAACACAGGGGCATTCAGACCATTGGCCTGGCTAGCTCAGTGTTGTCTATACTAACCAGCAGCTGCTCTTCAGGGATTCAGACGAAAGGCTCTCCCAACCTTACCTGGATCTGCTGAGGATTGAACCCGGGAGCGTCTGCCTACAGAGCACATGCTCTTCCAGTGAGCTGTGGCCCTCTCCCCTTACAGCGTAATGCATTTCCTCTGGCATTTGCCATGCATGGTGCCCATATGCGTAAAATAAAGCAAATAATTGCATAGTAAGAATCCACCCTTGGTTTAAATGGAAGGGGAAGATAGAGTAGCATAGATGGTAGTGAAAGGAGTTCTTGCTCTCCTTTTATAATTTATTTTTTAAAAGAAACCATCTTCTTAGGGTTTCATTCTTTTCCAACCCCCTTTAGATGTCAAGGGACAAAAAACTCTGGTACAACAGAAGTCAATTTTTCCTACGGAATGTATCAGGTTTTTCAAGCTTCGGAAACCAGCATAGATGGCATCCAAAGCTGAGGATTTTTGTTTCATGATCATACTTTTAAATCAGCTTGTGCTCAGCTGAATAATGCATGGGAAGGTTCTAAAGAGATGGGATAGGCTTAAGAGAAAATGCGTAGCTTAATGAGTCAAGGTTAAGGCCTGCTTGTTGTTGTTGTTTGTTTTATACAGACCAAACCTGAGTTGTAAGCAAGGAAAATACAGTGTCCAGTATAAACATTTAAAACGGGCTTGTTTTATAAATATGTCGCAGTGGCTTTTGGTTGCTGTTATATAAAACACACTGAAGACGACAATAATGGCTGGTCTGGAACAAATTAGAAAAGAAAGGCCATTGATACATTAGCCAGCTGAATCTGGTAACATTTGAGCAAAATGTGAATTTCCGACACTGAAAGTAGGATCTGTTCAGTTAACAATTCGTCTTCCATAATGGAAATAGGTCAAATTCACTTCCCGTCCGTTCCTTGAAGAATTGTCTCCTTTGTAATTATTCTTTAGAAAGCTGTGTTCTAGTCTAGATCATTTCCTCCTGCTAAATCCATATTGTTTGCTTGGTCTGAGTAACAAGATAAATATTTTATTGGACAAGCCTGACTGTGGCTGCATGTTTGTGGTAGCCGGCTTGGAATCCAGCTGTTGTTAAATCATTTGGAGGAGGAAATGATCTGTCGTTACATGTTTAGACCTTCTGAGTGCATTGTGCACCCTGCAGCTGAAAAGTCTGCATTGTCCCCTTTCAGGAGCCTGAAGGTTTAAATATTGCTTAACTCGGATGACTCCATAGCTTTGGTCAAATTAGAAGCACGGAATGGAATGGGAAGTGATTAACCAGGATTGTTTATTTCCATGGATTTATTTTGCACTTAGTTGATAGTGTTTAGAAAAGAAACATGCAGAGGTCTACTCTATTAACAGCCTGGTGAGTGTTTGCTCTGTATCAGAAGAGCTGACATTCTGTTTCTTATGCTGAAGCAAGCACCATTCCGTTCAGTGGGATTGGCTCCCAAGGAATTTTGTATAGGATTGCAGCCTAAATTTCTAACAAATTGCGCTGAAGAATTTTTTTACAGAACTTGATTTTCATATCTGAGTTAGCTAATCCAGTATGAAACTCCTGCCAATAATAATCAGTCCAAAATGCATTGCTATCAGGTGGAAATAATTCTATACAACAAGCCCACACATATGAAAACAGTTTCTCTGATGACATTGACTCCTGCTTCTTCCACTAATGTAAGGTTTGTTTATTAGATGGCCCAGTTGCAAAAGTCCTTCATGGAGTTAAATTCATCTGGCTTTGAGTCTTGTATATGCTTCAGTTACATAGATTTCTTGAACTGATATCAGTGTCTCTAGATTTGTTGTCAATCGTCTCTGATAACTATGTCGCTGAAGTTTAAATGTCCAAAATAATTGGTTTTGGAAGCTAATCTGTATAGCAAAATGCTCTAAAGTTGGCCACTATAAGCCCCAAGAGTGGACTATACAGATTTTGTAGCTCAGGACCACAGCACCTCAAGGACCCCCTCTCTCCATATAAACTGACCCGGACTCTGCGTTCACCTTGCGCCTTCATTATATAGCTTCATTATATAGCCTTCATTAGATAGGCAGCGCTGATTTGTTGTGTGATTTCCAGTGGCAGGTGGGCTGTAGAGTGTTTGGCGGTGGTGACCCCTCCCAAAAAAAGCTCAACAACTGGGCAATCCCCCCCCCAAAAAATCCCCCCCAAATGTTTGGTGCAGTTCCAACAAATAGGGGTCGTCCTATACATGGGTGTGTGTTATACACGGGGAAATACAGAAAATAAAATAAAACTCCTCTTATAGTTGGAAATGCTCTTAAACCCATCTGTTCATGCTGATAGTACAAAAACCCACGTAAGTGTGTGTGTGTGTGTGTGTGTTTTAAGAGAGCATGTGCTCTTAACATGTAGCTGTGGCCTGTGGCAAGCTTGGACTTTCTTAAGCCGAAATAGTTCTGAGGGAGGCGAAAGTATGTTGCTTATAGCTGGAACACAGGGGAATAAATAGCACAAGTAGAAATGGGTGTTCTCTTCTCTTTTCCAGGGTACTCAACCTGTGCTGAATGAACTGATGCCAGATATCGCTATGGGTGTGTCGACAATGTCTCTGAAGGACAGGAGGCTGCCAGAGCTCACTGCTGACACAGAACTGAGCCAGCCTGTTCTGGAAGTTGGGCCAGGAGCAGCCCAGCACATTTCATGCCTTCAGACAAGGCACATGCACAGTTCCCGGAAAAAACATTCAGTTGAACAAAAACTGGATTCGAGAGAGAATCCGCAGGAATACCCAGATTTCTATGATTTTTCCAACGCTGCATGCAGACCGTCTACTCCTGCCCCCAGCAGGCACACTCCTTCACCTTCTCAAGGTATCTATTTTGGCCCAGATTTGTACAGCCACAATAAAGCATCACCCAGCGGCTTAAAGGCCGCCCACTTACTTAACCACATCTCTCCAAAAAAGCTTGAAGACTCTCGGAGGGAGTATGCACTTTCTCAAGAAGGGCATCCGCATAGACAAAAGAATGAACCGATACACCTCGATGTCTTAGAACAACCTCCCCAGCGGTTGGACTTGGCATTGGCTGCCCAAGAGAATGCTGGAAATGGCCCAGTTCACGCAAGGGGGCGAACAAAAATAGAAACTGACTTAACCTATGGGTTAACCTCTGGCCGGCCTTCTCTGCCTGCATACAGCTCAGAGATCCATGAAGAGCAGTCCGGCCGGAGGCTGGCAGACCTTGAGCCCTTAGAGCACGAAGCACAGAGAAATGTGGATTTGGAAAGGGAAGAGGCAGTAAGCAGAGGAAGGAGGTCTCCCAGCAAACCAGACTTCCTGTACAAAAAATCTGCCCTCTGAAAACCACCTCCACTTCTTCTCTGTGCCTAAGAGTCATGAAATATCCAGTCTTTGCCACCTCTGGCCTGACTTTGGTTGGGCAAGTTCATTTATTGCCAGCTGCCACATCACTTTTTTAATTATTATTTTTGTACATACATGGCTTCCTTAGAGATGGCATGCTACCAGTTTGTTTGGAATGCTGCTCCAGAGTTTGTGTCCGGAACAGATTTTGTTAAGCCTCTTTAAAAAAAAAATAGCCGGCACCTTTAACAAAAAATGAAAGGTAGCCTTTTGCACCTGTACATTAATTTTATTTAGTTTTTGTACTAGTATGTTAAAACTTGCTGTTATATTTAAAGGACAATGTTCATGCTCTCTTGGGTGGCTTTTAAAAAAAGAATTCACCTTCTGGCTTCCTGTGCGCATTGGGTTTGCGCACTGAGATATGTATTTTCTTATCAAATGGTGACAATGTCTGTCTTTATTTTTGAATGACTATAGGAATTCCAAAGAACAGCACATCTAAGTAACTGCTCTGGTTCAGTCTCAAGCCTTCCTGGTCTACCACTAGTGCAAGAATCCAGCCTAATACGTTTGTTCTGTTTACCAAGTCCATGGCAGCTGGCCTTCATCTTGATGTAGCAAGCCCTCACTGATGTTTGTGGCCGAGGTTTTCTGTGGAAGTGAGGAGTATAACTCTCTTTGGGTTCCTTGAAATCTTCTCTCTCTCTCTCTCTCTCTCTCTTGCAGGCCTTGGGGGCTGACATAACACCTCTGAGAAGCACTTAGTTAACTCCTTTTGTTGGAATACACCTGGTACTGCAAATTGTGACAGTACTGTAAACACTCTCATCAATTTTTCCTTTGAGTAAGGATATGCAGGTATGGGACAGTGAGAAGATGCTGCATAACACCTGACTTTGGTGTTAACGCTCCATCTCCTTAGAGGAAGCTGCCTGTCTCCAGTAGAGGCACCCAAAGGAGTGCTTTCTGCCTTCTTTCTTCCACCTCTGATTAAGCAACCAAGGGCTTCAACCTTAGTGATGTCACTGAGGGCTCCCAGACCCCGTGAGTCTCTTGCTTTGTGGACGGAAATCACAAATTGAAGAGGAACGCCTAAGGCTTAAATTAGCTGTAAGCAATTTAGCACTTAATTTCTTCATCCCAACCTCTTCCGTGTGTGCGCGTTTGGTTTTGTCTTTTTAAAAAGACTCTGGGGACTCTGTGCTTTTATGAACACAGAGTAAAGAGACGGGGCCGATTGCTTAGAAACGCCCATTGCTGCTAATGATAGCCATTTGGGCTGTCAGCAGTTGTATGCACCCACCATGTCTTTTCTCATGCAAGTATTGGGGAAAGCCCCAGTGCTGCTGTGTGGCATCTCCCAATACAGGCCTGACAGGGTGGCTAGCTCTAAAATGCAGATCTTCCATCACCAGAAGACCTCAGTCAGAATACTAACTAAAGGCTGTTCTAACGTTAAATCTGACTCTTGATTTTAGATACTTGACACTGTTTTAAATGTACACTTTTTCAATGTTTAATCATACTTTTGTTTTCAGCTCTAACAAGAGGACCAGCTCCTGCCTTTCAGTTGCTGTGTCCTATTTCTTTTCGGGGGCAAACACTGTTAAAGCAAACAGAAGTTCTGGATCCTTGATGGATAGTGTGTATGAGTGAGAGAGTATCTTGTCCAGAATTTTCACACTACATTAACTTTGCTACAATGGTGCAAATGCATAAAGCATAAAGTCTTCTATCCTCTGCCTTTTTAATTTTGAGGACAAGGGAAGATGAGAATCTACTATATCATCTTGTCTAGTGCTTTTTAGCTGTCTTTCATGGTATAGGAGAAGTTTGTGAGATTGGCTTTGCCTTCCAGAGAATTTTGGGACAAGACTTACCTTTGATCCACTTACTCATGCACACCGAATATATCTTTAAACCCACTCTCCCAAACAAGAGCACACAGAAACGTCCATATTCTGTTATTTCAAGTAGGTCATTTTGTCCATGTCTGAAACAGAGCCTGTTTGCTTCAGTACGTTAGTAGTGTAATGTGTGCCTAGCTCTGTCTGTGAGTTACCCGAGGGGTAAATTCTTGATCTCAGTAGTGGCTATAGAGTTGGCTGAAATAATCCACCCAGGTTTAGTTTACACATGGTTTTTACTGTGGAATAAGCTTTGTGAGAAGCTATTAGGTGCATATTGGCTCCCAGCGAACAAAACGTACCGCTTTTGAAGTCAGGTAGTTGCCATGTCAGACCATGGGACGGCATTCTAGATGAAAGCAAATCCTGTGTCAACAAAACTCTTCTCGGATTCTTTGGCTTATTAAACTAGATCCGTTTCCCAGCAGTGGTCAGATTGGGTTTGATCAGTTTGGTGCAGTTTTAGCAGGACCTCTGGGTAGCTCATTTATTCATCCAGTGTCATTCAACTCCTCTTGCACTTCCTTAGGAAAAGGCGTATTTTGATATCTACATTTTGATATCTATATTTATGAGCAACTGGCCAACTAAAGCCAAACTTTAATATCCATGATTCGATAGAGCAGGAGTCGCCAACCTGGCGACATTGGGCACTGTGTTGCCCACAAAGGCTTTCGTTTGTGCCCCTGGGCAGGTTCCCCAGACTCCAAGCTTTCTTTTTTTTAAAGAGGCAAGTCTCTAGTTATGGGGCAAAATGTGCTGGTACCTTCTAAGTGATTTCTGTGAAATGAAAGTGAACGTGACGTGACCACCTTGTATATTTTTCTTGACACTGACAAATGCTCCCTGTTATTAGCAACAGCACCAGTGCACGTGTGATTAGTAGTGTGATCTCCATGATCAGGGCATAGCTGACTGTGGTAGGTTGTCAGGGTGCTTGTCTAATTTTGTGTTCTGCCATGACCCCCACCTTAGGAGGCACTTTGTGACTCGAGCCACCAGCACTCTCCCAAAATTTGAAATGACCCCCCTGTTCCAAAAAGGAACAGTGCAATGCAACGGTTTTGTCTGGGTGTTAACTTGACCCGGCAACAAATTGATCAAACATGTATTGTGCCATAATTGAAATTAGTTTTACAATCTGCTGGGCAGATGATTTACTCAGAACTTCAACCGCTTGGTCCCTTTGTCCTCCCAAAAATCAGGACTCATGAGCAAATCCCAGCTATTCAGTTCAGTAATTGACAACTATGCTGTGTTTGGCATCTTCAATGCACAATACAGTTTTAGCAGCTTAAATAAATAATCTTTTGTTTGCATGAAGCACTTTTGAATACATTTTAGGAAATTCCAAGTATTCAGTAACCATACAGCTGTGGCTTTGAAAGAGAAATAATTACTTACTGAACAATTGGTAAACCAATGCAAGATGCTTCAGTATGGAAATTTAAAACTATAATCTTGGCTATTTCTGCTGCAACAGAAGAGTCGTGTCCAAAACTGGTTTGGTATCCATCCTGCTAGGAAAAACTGTGTGTTCTAATCCATGGTTGGGAACTAGAAGTGTGTGTGTGTGCATGTGCGCACACAAACACATTGTGTTTCCATGCATCTACCTTGCGTGGGTTGTTCTCTTTTTTTAAACTTCCAGAGGTGCAAAGGGCTGTGTGGGTTGGGAAGTGACAAGGGTTCTCCTGCCAGGAGAAGGAAGTGGAAAAACCACCATGTAGACATGCCACTTTGTATCCCAGCCAATGTGTTTACAATAAGTCTTCTGAAAGTATACTGTTAAGAGTTAATTCTTCAGTTATCCTTGTTATCCTGTAAGACTACCGTACAGTGACCATCTACGTTTCATGTTTTAATTCCTGTCTTTGATCTCTTTTTTCTGTCTTTAAAAAGAGAGAAAATGAAGAGACTGGCTCTTGCTTGTTATTCCAAACCATATTTTCATCTCTTATGTAACTTATTTTGAAATGGGCTATGGATGGAACAATTATTCTAGCTTCTCCCAATGTCTGTGCTTTTAAATGGTGGAGGGGCTGTGTGTGGAATGCTAGAGGAAGCTGGAGGGGGAGGGGATGCTATTTCCGTACATGTTTGTATTTCTGGAAGGTGTTAAGTGTCCATGATGTTGCGTTGTTTTTGTGCTGTTACTGGTATAAAGTCAAGTGCCTTCAATACTAAAGGCTCAGAAATTTTCTTACAACAACTTCATGTCCTATGCAAGTGTTTTTTCTACAACCTGCATAACCAGTACTTTGTAAAACTTGTTTACGCTTCAATTGTACATATTGGTTTTTAAAGAAAATATAGTATTTTTATTTAGGTACCTCTAGAATTGAATTCTAGTCTTGTGTGATGCATTGTAAAACAATACATTTCTCTTTTGAGTACCATTACAGTTGTAAAAAGGTTTTCACTGGTTCTATTTTTCTACTGTTGCTGAGAAGCATGTTAACACTGACTTTATCCTACATATAGTTGGCATTTCAAATAAATGGCTTGTCTAGAAAAATCCTGTGTAAAATTTATTTGATTCAGTCATGATAAAAGACAACTTCTGCATGCAGCATGCTAACGTATAGTAACATTTTTTCCTCCTGCCTGAGACGAAAACACATTACTGTGCACAGCTGCCAAGCCTACTCCTTCTGATTATATTAATTTCCTGTCTTGAAAGAAGTACCAACTTGTCAGTAAAATCTCAAGGCTACAAGGCAATAACTTTTATTAGGAACTAAAATGTTGCAAAGTAGCTTTGGAACTCTTCTTCAGGTTAGGTATTAAAAAAAACAAAGGGGTAGGCAGGAAAGTTAGAAAAGACTGGATAGGATAGGAATACAGTTTATAAAAGATGGAGTACAGGAGGTGCTTTGCAGAATTAGACTGGTAGATACAATACAGATTTTGTTGGTGGCAGGGAAAAGATTGGTATATAAGAGGAGAATTCCTGGATTACAAGGTTCCAGTTTGGGGCAAGTACTCTTTGGTGAGAGAATCCCAGCAAACTAAAGTGTGTAAATCTATGTTGTTAGCCCTTTAAAATATGCCCTGTAAGTTCCAAAACTTCCCTCTTCCCTTAGCATAGAAAAAACCACAGATTTGGTAGGTTAAAAATGGTTTACTTACAAACTTTCCAAAGGTCAGGTTTATGTGATTTTTCTATGCATCAGTCATAAAACACAGGCAGTAAAACTTGGCTTAGTTACAGTGTTGAAAGTTCCTAGGTGACTGGTATAGAAACACAAGAAAGTATTGTTAGAGCCATGGGGTGTGAGCTTGGAGTGACCTCTTTGCAGTGAGCTGCTCAGGCAGACTGAGGTACAATAGGCTTGATTACTCCCAAGGTGAGTGGGAGTGACCTAAGCCTGGCAAGACAGCTTACTCTATTGCATTAACCACTTCATTCATTAATGAGACTTAAGTATGTTGGTTATCTGAGGCTGGTTATCCCACAGGTTTCAGGTTATGCCAAAGCTTGCTCCGTAGTTGGATACATTTTACTTGATTCCAATAAGGCTGTTACTCTGCTGTATCTTTTCGGTTTCCCCTCACTAATGAACTAGCATGGATATTACTGTTGGATATGCATGTATAACCTACACTGAAAGTGTGTTGGGCTCTGTCTTCAGCCTCAGCAACAAGACTGGATAAGAGCCACCTACAGCTTAATCCAGCCAAGACTGGAAGGATGTGGTTATACCCCCTCTGAAGCAGCAAGTATGTAGCTCGGGGGCACTTCTGGAATCATTGCTGTTGCTCAAGGCCCAAGTAACTTTGGTAGAGTGAAAGGCCTTCTGTCAGTTCCATCTGGTGGGCCCAGCCTTACTTCTGTTGTCTAGGCTCTGGTAACCTAGTTGTACATGTGCTATACATGGGGTGGCCTTTGAAGGTTCAATATCTGCAGGTGATGCAGAATTCAGCGGCCAGATTGTTGACCTGGGTAGGACAGCCAGTCCATATAACATCAATTCTAGCACAACTACACTGATTGTGTATCAGTTTCCAAAAGGCTGGTTTTGACCTGCAAAGCCTGATGTGGCTGAAGACCACCTCTTCCCCACATGAACCAACCCAGACCCTGTGAGTATTGTGTATTAAATACTTAGTATATCAATTTTCTCACTACCTCCTATGGTGCTTTTCAAAATGCAAAACTACAATCTGTGTCAAACTAGACGGATCTGACTCATGTATTGCACTACTTCCCTTGTTTACAGCAATGTGGATGTGCATCCAATGACCTTTTGCTGAACAGAAGTTATTTCATTTAGCACATCATAGATAGGTAGTGTAACAGCTTCAAGATTAAAATCAACCACAGTGCAAGTTACCCATGTAGTCCTGAGTTTTGGCTGAGGGAATATGCAAAACAACACACTGGCACCCTAGTTATTATTAATATTCTGTTGGGAGCTTTCCAGAGTGGCTGGAAAGGCAAGGCTGCATCTAAGCAAGGCCACAGCCATTCCACTATCACTAGCATGTAATAATAATAATAATAATAATAATAATAATAATAATAATAATAATAAATTTTATTTATATCCCGCCCTCCCCAGCCGAAGCCGGGCTCAGGGCGGCTAACAACAGTCAAATAGTCAAACAGTCAAATTCTAAAAACATTCCATTATAAAAATTAATTAAAATCAAATTGTTGGCAACCGATTAGGCAAAATTCTGTGCAGGTTGCCAGAGGAGGGAGTCAGGCTGCGCCCTGACCAAAGGCCTGGTGGAACAACTCTGTCTTGCAGGCCCTGCGGAAAGATGTCAGGTCCCGCAGGGCCCTAGTCTCTTGTGACAGAGCATTCCACCAGATTGGAGCCGCCGCCGAGAAGGCCCTGGCTCTAGTTGAGGCCAGCCTAACCTCTCTGAGGCCTGGGACCTTGAGGATGTTGTTATTTGCAGACCGTAGGTTTCTCTGTGGGGCATACCAGGAGAGGCGGTCCCGTAGGTACGAGGGTCCTAGGCCGTATAGGGCTTTAAAGGTTAAAACCAGCACCTTAAACCTGATCCTGTACTCCACCGGGAGCCAGTGCAGCTGGTATAGTACCGGATGAATGTGATCTCGCAGCGAAGACCCCATAAGGAGTCTCGCCGCGGCATTCTGCACCCGCTGGAGTTTCTGGGTCAGTTTCAAGGGCAGCCCCACGTAGAGCGAGTTACAATAATCCAGTCTGGAGGTGACCGTCGCATGGATCACAGTGGCTAGATCAGGGCGAGAGAGATAAGGGGCTAACTGCTTAGCTTGGCGGAGATGAAAAAATGCCGCCTTTGTTATAGCTGTAATCTGCGCCTCCATAGAGAGGGAGGTATCGAAGATTACACCCAAACTCTTAACGGACGGTGCTGGCACTAATTGCACCCCCGCAAGAGATGGGAGTTGCCCCCTCGATCCCATATCGTCCCGCCCCAGCCAGAGGACCTCTGTCTTCGAAGGATTTAACTTCAACCGGCTCCCACGTAACCATCCAGCCACAGCTTCCAGACATCTGGTCAGTGTGTCTGGGGCCGAGTCAGGATGGCCATCCATCAACAGATAGAGTTGGGTGTCATCAGCATACTGATGGCAACCCAGCCCAAAACTCCGGACAAGCTGGGCGAGGGGGCGCATAAAGATGTTAAAAAGCATTGGGGAGAGAATCGCACCCTGAGGCACTCCACACACCAAGGAGTGACGCGATGACAATTCCCCCCCAAGCGCCACCCTCTGTCCCCGACCAGAGAGAAACGAGCGCAGCCATTGAAGGACTGTGCCCTGGATCCCCACGTCGGCAAGGCGGTGGTCCAGAAGTTCGTGATCGACCATGTCAAAGGCTGCTGACAGATCAAGAAGAATCAGCAGCCCCGACCCGCCTCGATCCAGCTGCCTGCGGAGATCATCTGTTAGGGCGACCAGAGCCGTCTCGGTCCCATGCCCAGCGCGGAAGCCGGACTGGAATGGATCCAGAGCAGATGTTTCATCCAGAAACCTACCGAGCTGTTCAGCAACCGCTCTCTCAATCACCTTACCCAGGAATGGAAGATTCGAGACCGGGCGGTAATTGGATAGATCTAAGGGATCTAATGATGTTTTCTTTAAGAGCGGACGCACCACCGCCTCCTTCAGTTCCCCTGGGAATATCCCGGTGCCAAGGGACAAATTGATGATATCCCCCAGGGGGGCCCGCACCTCGTCTGGACACGCTCTAATTAGCCATGACGGGCACGGGTCAAGAGGACAGGTGGTGGGCTTTCCAGCTTGGAGGAATCTGTCCACATCAGCTGGAGATATCCGGTCAAAGTGGTCCAATACTGGACCCGAGGACAGTCGAGGGGCCTCCAGTTCCTTTATTGTATCCAAATTGGCAGGGAGGTCATGGCGGAGCAACAGGACCTTCTCCGCAAAAAAGCTCGCAAATGCCTCACAGCTGTGTGTCAGATTGTTATTTAAATTTGGCTGTCCTTCGAGGGACGTTAAAGACCGAATTATACTAAATAATTGCGCCGGGCGAGAGCTAGCGGATGCAATGGAGGCCGAGAAGTAAGCCTTCTTAGCGGCCTTCACTGCCATCTCATAGGTTTTCATAAAAACCCTATAAGATGTTCTTGAGGCTCCGTCACGGGCACCCCGCCATACTCGCTCTAGCCGTCTGAGGTCCCGCTTCATTTTCCGAAGCTCCTCGGTAAACCAGGGAGCCCGGTTTCTGCGGGGTCGCAGAGGGCGCTTAGGTGCGATCTCATCGATGGCTGCCAGGAGCTGGGTATTCCAGCCCTCAACAAGCTCAATCAATGAGTCGCCAGGGGGAGCAAGGTCCCGCAAGGCTTGACGGAATCTATCAGGGTCCATCAGCCTCTGCGGGCGAACCCAAATCGGCTCGCCACCTAAGCAGGGTGGGGGTGGAAAGTCAATCCTGGCTTTCAGAGCGTAGTGATCAGACCATGGCACCTTCATCGAAGGAGACATGATCACATCTATACCGGCGCCAAAGATCAAATCCAGCGTGTGGCCTGCTTGATGTGTGGGGCCCGAAACAAACTGGGAGAGCCCTAGTGTCGCCATGGAAGACACCAGGTCCAGAGCCTGTGAGGAGGGAGTGGCATCAGCATGGAAGTTGAAGTCTCCCAATACCAATAGGTTAGGGAACTCCAGGGCCCAGCCGGCCACCGCCTCCAGCAGGCCTGACAGGGTGGCTGCTGGTGCGCTAGGTGGCCGGTACACCAGCCAGACAGCCAAGCTCTCCTCGGAGCCCCACACTAGGCCAACACATTCAATGCCGGGGATCGATGGCGATGGTAGAGCCCTGAAAGGACAATCTTCCCGGATTAATACTGCCACCCCTCCCCCCGGCCCACAGTCCGTGACTGGTGGAGGACGGAGAAACCCGGGGGCGCCATCTCTCGTAAGGTAACAGTTACCCCTTCGCGCACCCAGGTCTCCGTCACACAAGCCAGGTCGACCCCCAGCGAGATAAAGAAATCTCGCAGGGTGGCGGTTTTGTTGCCTATAGACCTGGCATTGCACAACACCAGTGA